ATGTTCTTCACGTCATGAGTTAGATCCTCAGAAAATCTATTTTAACCAAAGCTCAAATTACACTTGGCAACTTTGACACATGCCAAAATTAGAAGTTTGCAATATATATTTAACTATGTTTACAGTCCTTATAATGATATAAACAATAAACTTACTTTAGAGCCTTAACACCGTTGACACTCCAGCACAGAAATAATGTTCCTGCCACAGCAATGCCTGTAGGACTCTAATAATTAGATTGCTGATGTACTTTATCTAGGTTAATGCGACAGATGAAGTTATGAGAAGTTCTTTTTGCTTTCTATGCATTGATAACATCAAGGAACTGGCTTTATCAGGTTTGATTTAGTCTGTTCTCTTGTGTGTTGTCCTGTAAGTAAGGATAGCACAAGATTATTAACATGAGTGTACATTTAATTACCTGTGTAGAATACAACAACAACAAAATAACATTTGTATAGCGCCTTTCACGTCAGGAGAACGTCCCAAAGCTTTGGACAGTCCGAGTTGCAGACCCGAGTTGTGGGTCAGGATTGGGGAGGGTGGAGGGGGGGAAGCAAGGTGATCAAATTCACGGTCGAAAAGGCAGGTCTTGAGATGGGTCTTGAAGGAGGCAAGGGAGAGGGAGAGACTACAGGATGGAGTTCCAGGGGGTGGGGCAGAGTGGCAGAAGGTCCGCCGACCAATAGTGGGTTGAGTGAGGCAGGGGACGTGAAACAGGCTGGACCCTGCTGAGCAGAGGGAGCGAGCAGGATGGTAGGGGGTTAGGAGGTCACAGAGGTACAGCCTGGTGCGGGAAAGGACATGGGCTGCAGAGATGTGGATGATCTGCAGCCTATGGAGGGAAGATTTGGGGAGGCCGACAAGCAACAAATTTGTATAGTCAAGCCTTGATGTAATGAAAGCATATATGAGGGTTTCAACAGCCTGTGGTGTGAGACAGTGGCTGAGCCGGGCGATGTTGCCAAGGTGGGGGAAGGCAGAGCTGGTCATGGCATAGATGTGTGGTAGAAAGGATAGTTGTGGGTCAAACAAGACGCCAAACTTCCTGACTGGCTTAGTAAGGTGGAGTGTACATCCATGGATGGAGATGCAATAACATTTAAAGAGCTCCCATAGCCTCTCCAGACAAACAAAATACGATTTAGTTTTACTTTAATGGATTACATACCATTGGTAGCATTACTGAAAAAGAGTATCGTCTCTTCCACTAATTCATATTGTAGTTAGTTTGCCCTTCAGTTGGTCTGAAATAGCAATTTAGTTCAATTGGTAGAATTCTCGCCTGTGCGGGAAGATTATGGGTTCAAGCTTTGGAATTTTGAGCTCATAGTCTGGTCAGTACCAGTGGATCACTGTATTGACTGAGGTGTTAAACCAAGGTCGTGTCTGCCTGTTCAGGTGGGTGATAACAATCCTATGGCACTATTCAAAAAGTGAAAGGAGTTTCTCATGAGCAACAACTCTCAAGATCATTTGTTCATTTAGCTGATGGCTGTGCAGTTTTGAGCGAGACTACTAAGTGCTACAATTACTGCCACATTTGTAGACAAATACATCACTCCGTAAAGCGCTCCGAAACACCGTCCGGAGTGAAGGGCACTATATAAATGCAAGTTGTTGTTGTCACTGCATTTGACAGTAATTACCTGTGAAGTGGTGGAGACATTTCGACAAGATAGGCATTATATCCAATGCAACGATTATTATTCAATGAAGACTATGTTTTGAAGTGGTGAAGTGTTTGATTAAATGTAGCAACATCTCAGCCACAGACCTCATTGTGGTATGGCACTAGATCAATGCGTCTTCTTTTACTGCAGCTTAACACACTGTGCAGTGTTATCTAACAAAACACATCATTTTGAAACAGTTGTACTTTAGATCACCTTGTTAATTTGGAGCAAGTATTCAGGAAATGTAAAGAGTGGTACAGATGTTCCAGAAATTACATTTAACAATATGGATAATCTGAGGGAAAAACCAACACCTAAGCACTCCAAGGAATTAATAAATCATTTAACCCCATTCTCCAATAAAGGACTCAGCGCTTGGAATATCTAGCATCTGAATTATTGGGCTTTCAGGCTTCAGATAAACTGTCAACCTTTGAAAACTTTGTATTTCTTCAACTTTAAACATCTTGATACTAAACAACAATAAACTGGACAAGTATCACCCATTAGTGAGCAGAGAATCTTCTTTTTCTCAATCTTTTTAAAGCTATAACTCAGTACTTCTGAGAAGTGTGGTGCATCATTCAAACCAGTTTTGGATTCCTCTGAGAAACAACATCAGATCTATTCCAATGATCACGTTCAATAGTGAAATCAGATAATTAAATAGATTTCCAAAATCAGAACCCAGCTGTAAGAAGACAGAAGCTCAGAAACTTCATTAAAATGTTAACCTAAGTTATGACCTTAAGTCCCAACAAGAGCCAGGCCAACATATTCATCAGACTATGTAAAAGTCTAATTATTTTCACATCTGCCATGTGATTTGGTTATTAGGATCTAGCATTTTGAAGTCCTACATTTTATATTCTAGTTTCTATTCTATTTTCTCTTTGACCGAGCCTTCAGCTCCCCTCTCGACTCTCTTCCCCCTCCTCGCTCCCTCCCTTCCCTCCCCTCACCCTGACCATTTCCCCCCTCCTCGCTCCCTCCCTTCCCTCCCCTCACCCTGACCATTTCCCCCCTGCTCGGGTCATGACCCAACTGTGCAGCGCCTTGGGACGTCCTCCTGACGTGAAAGGCGCTTTATAAATGGAATCTTGTTGTTGTTGTTGTTGTTGTTGTATTGCTATGAGTTCTACTTAACCAGAAACCCAAATTGTATCACCTTGCTCTGCACTTTATTATAATTCAAAGTAAAAAAAAATTGTGGTTACAGCCAAGCAAATCAATCAAATGTGATAGAGTTATTGGATTGCCTTGGCTCCTGGATTGTTTTTAAAAGTCATATTTAAGTAGAAGAATGTGAATATGTGTCAGCCTAGCTCGGTTGGTAGCATTCTCGCCTCTGAGTCTAATGTCTCAATTATGGTTGTGGGTTCAAGCTCTACATCAGGACCTAGAATTCACTTATATACTAATGAAGACAAAATGTCTGTGTGTGTGTCTGCCAAGAACGCAATAACTGATTGACGTAGACACCTGATTTAAACCTCATTGGAAAGCTCTTGCATAGGGGAGTGCCGTGGGCATATTTTTGGGAGGGGTCTCCTATAGTTGATGAGCTACAACCTAAACAAGCTCATCACACATGTATGGCAGTTTTGCTTAAGGTGTACACACAGTGTTTTTGGCATGTTAAACAGTTTGTGAGTGGTACACTGAAATCTACATTCCATATTGGATCCTTTAATTGCAAGTGTAGCTGCAATGGGTAGAGCTAGTATAGTCTAAACTGACACTCCAAAGGAGTGCTAGGGATGTGCTGCATTGTTGGAGGTGCCGTACTTCGGATGAGAAGTTAAACCGGGGCTCCTTCTGCTTGTTCAAACTGACATTAAAGATCCCATGGCACTATCAGAGAGAGAAGGGAGTTTCTCCTGGTGTCCTGGCCAACTATCCCCAAATAAAATTGGTGATTCGTGTGATGGATGTTTGTGAGGCATTGTTCTGTGCAATTTTGCTTCTGCATTTGCCGAAAAAACAATTATTACACTTTACAGTATGTCCTGTGAAGGGCTTTGGGATGTTCCCCCAACATGAAAGGTGCTCTATGCCAAATGCAATGATTATTATTATTTAGAAAATAAATGCTGTTGTATATTTCTATTCCAGATGTGGGTTAATAAAAGCCAGATCAACAAATCACACTTCTTTGCCTTTTTCTCCATTTATTTTACTTGGAATGAGGACAGTTAGCAGATTACTTCTGAAATGTTTATCATTCAGCCTAGCATTGTAATTGCTACTTTCCCTTTGGGAAGAGAAATAAAACTATGATCCTGTCCATCTGTCTTCTGGTATCCTGTGCCAAAATGTTGGAATTAAAATAATCCATGGTCTTCACAACAATTTAATTTTATCTGGAAGATGAGCTTTCGTTTGAAGTCATGTTGAGTCAGAAAAAAATTAAGGATGCAATGACATCTGGAAATTCAGCATAAAGCTTAGAAACAGGAAACTTTAGGTATAGTTATATTGTTTCACTGATAATTGTCATAGCTGACCTTCCAAACAGCTTAATTGATCATTGGCATAGCTGTTCATCATAATAGTTAAGATCCACTTGTGGGACTCTCACATCTGGTACTCTAAGCTCCAGGCTAGAAGGCTGTGGGTGAGATTCTTCCAATATGAGTTCCTAATCTAGACTGAGACTGCAGTGCAGTACTGAGAGAGTGCTGCATTATTGTTAACCTTTGGCTGAGATCTTAAAGCAAGGTCTGGATTATTCCAACAGTTTGAATTTCTATAGCAATTCCATAGCACTACTGTGCTTTGAAGAAGAGCCAGAAATTCTCCCAGTGGATGTTAATATTCCCTCCAAACAGCAAATACATTACGATTCATCTCATTATTTGTGAAAAGTTGGTGGGGTAAATTAGCTGTTCTGTTTGTCTGCATTGCACTTCAAAGCAAAACTTTTTTTTATAAAGAGTTTGATATTTTGACATGATAAAGCACTGTATCAAATCAAGTATTGATAATAATAATCCTTGCATTTGACATAGCGCCTCCATGTCGGGAGAATGGCAAAAGACGCTTTACAGGATCCACATTGATGGTATTTTGTATGTTTTTGAACGCGGCAGCCTATTTGTGAATAACAATGTCCTTCAAACGACCATGAAGTGAATGACCAGTTTTATGCAGGGCGATTGTTGGGCAGGGCACCTGGGAGAAACTCTTTTCTTTTCGAGTATATATTCACCTGAACAGGCCCACCGGACCTTGGTTTAACGTTCAAAAGACGGATTAATGTACTGGTCTATTGCATTCAGTTTTGGCATGTTATTAATTGAATGATAACTATTTTATTTTCAGCACCTACCGAGGTGACCTTTTCTTTTGATGTGGGTAATGGCCCAGTGGAACTTACAGTGAGATCTCCAAACCCTTTGAATGATGACCAGTGGCATCGAGTGAATGCTGAACGCAATGTAAAGGAGGCAAGCCTTCAAGTAGATCAGCTGCGCAGGGACTTCAGAAAGGCACCAACCCAAGGTCACACCAGACTGGAACTCTACAGCCAGCTCTATGTCGGTAAGGAATCACTATTTGTTCAAGGTTTTTTTTTCCAAAATGAAGTAGTCACAGGAAATGTGTTTGAAGCATTTAGGGACCTTCCTGAAGTGCAGTAAAATATTGATCAGATTGTAAAAAGTAACTACTCAAACAGCTATATTATGCATGAGATGTGACATTTTACTATCTCTTTGACTGAACCTTCAGCCATCTTACACCTCCCCCACCCACTTAGTTCCCACTCTGTCTTTGTGAAATGCTTTGAGATATTTTTCCCAGATAAAAGGCACTGTATAAGTACAAATCATTATCCTGCTGAAATTCCACCTCTACAAAATCTGTTCATAGAATGACGTTCCCGCAGGTCTGCACTATGCACCTTGGGTTGCAACAGGAGTCAATATTTGCGAATGGCTAATAGTGGAGCTTGATCAAGAGCAGCTGCCGATTAGCGCTTCCACATCAGCGATCCTGTGATCATCATCCTTGCATTTGACATAGCACCTTAATCACATCGTCGAGACACCTCAACGCACTTCACAGGATATACTGTGACTGTATATGATTGTGACATCATTTCACGGAGAAAACCAGCCGACTCCATTGCCATAGAATTAGCACAAGTTTGCTGATGACACATAAATAGGGAGTGTTAAAATTGTAGCTGATAGTGAAGAAAATTGTAAGAAACTGCAGCAAGACATAGTTGACTAGTTGATTGGGCAGGGAGATGGCACATGAACATTATCATCAATGCCCTGCTGAGAACAGTGGTAGAGGCAGCATCGATGTTAACTACAAGTAGATAAACATCTAAAAATGAATAATTTGAAGAGGAGTAGAGAAAAGACATGTAAATGAAACAGAATGGATTGCTCAAAGAGCCAGAATGAATGGCCATTCAGTCCATCCTGCAAATAAAGGTTGTGGGGGATGTGGTTCAGAGTTCAGTCAAAGAGATAGATCTTTGGATGGGTTATCAAAACAGAAAAACAGTGGTGGGGGCGGGGGGCACTTTGCTATGGTTCTATGGGAGAAAGCTAAAGACGAAGAAAATGTATGTTAGGTTTACTATTAATTTTATGCTTCACTGCAGGGTTGCACCATAAAATTGGCCTCAATTACTGAAAAATGGCAATTGAAAATTATATTGACTTTCTTTACTGGTAGCTCATGTTAGTTGTGGATACTGCAGCAGTTTGGGATTTGTTTGTTACAGGCAATATCAACAGAGTGTCAGTTAGTGGTTTGGAGTGATTGGTTTTAGCAATTGATCAACAGTAAGTACCCTGAAATCATAGGAAAGGTGAGGAATGATTCAGAATAATTGGAATTTCTAGGAAAACACTGATTCAACAAACTCTGAATAATTAGATACATCAAATCAATCAGACAATGAGACAATCAGAGTGTCAATTGCGCTTCAAACCCTGAAACTAAATGTAATGAAGCATCAATATGCACATGGTCAGTGTTCTCAGCCCACAATGAGCTTTCCCAGAGATGCTGTTCCAAATATCTGGATTAAGCAGGGAAAAATCATTACAATGCTCAATCAAAATACTTAGCCAAGATTATTCTAAATTCAAGTTTGGTCTTTCTCAGTTAAGGAGTCAAAGGATTAAAGGTTGCAGAAACTGTAGGCTTGATTGCTTTTCATCCAGTGTCATCTAATGATTCAGTTTAATCTGCCTGTCAGTTATCATCCATAGAATTTGAATGCTCACTCTTTTCCTGATCTTTGGCTTCAGCTGCAAACGTAAGGATTGACTGTCAAATGAATTGATAAGTATGACTGTGCTCTCATCTTACGCAGTTCAGCAAAGGTCTGAAGAGCTGACAGGAATGTCCACTTTGATTGTGCTTGGATCTAATCCTTTTCTTACCTGAGACCACTTCACATAATGTCAATTGGGTATGTGTCTCACATGCATTACTTTGTGTTTGTATCTTGAAAGATGAGCCAGAGAAAAGTTCAGGTGTGTGTCATGTCTGATTTTAATCGTCTCAGATAGAAAGGTGCTACCTCATTTGATCGTCTTATTGAAAGTTTCAGAGTTCACTTGTGTGTGAATCGAGTACGAATAATCTTTACATTTGATTCAGTGCCTTATCACATCAAGAAAGCTCTTCACAAAGTTTTCAGGAAAGTGTATTAGTAGGCAAATGGTAAAAGTGCTCCGAGATATTAACCCTATAAAGGGCACTATATAAATGCAAGATGTTTTTGTTGCAAATGTGGTTGCCATATTGTGCACAGCAATGTCCCATAAACAGCTAGAAAGTGAATGAACAATTTAAATAACTTTTGGCCAAGGCATCAGGAGAAACTCCCTTCTCTTTTCAAATTGTGGCATTAATTCTTTAATATCCACCTTATCAATACTGCTTTACAGTGGACCCTAAAGACCTTATCAGGCAGATTTAACCTTAACCAGGTTTAAAATCTCATTTGATGGACAGCAACTCCAATACAACATTCCCTCAGCATTGCATTGGAGTGTCAGCCTGAACCATAAGCTCTGGGTCCTGGAAATGGGATTTGAATCTACAGCTTTCTGAGCCAGAGATGAGACTGCTACCAACTGAGTCAGGCTGTTACCAGGAAATTTAAAAAATACTTGAAGAAGCAGAAGAAGAACAAGAACAAGAATAATAGTAAAAGGGATAGACAAAGGACAATGTAATGGGAATGAGAAGATATCACCAGTAGGGTAGATAGCTCAGGCACCAGCTCAATGGTCCAAACAATCTCCTAATGTGTGACTATCCTCCTTGGAGGTAAGTGGGATCTCCTTGGAACTGAACTGCCTGAAATGAATTTTCCACAACTCTACATGTTCTCTTAAATTTTAAGACAATCTAAGAAAAAGTTAAATTTCAGCTTCACAGTCTGTAGTATTGAAGCCAAAGTTGACCCATTGTGCTGTGCTAGAACTATCTGCCCTACCTGCGATATCTATTCATTTCTGTTCCGTTGCCTTTTACTATCCCTTTAACTGTTTTTCTTCTGCTTCTTCAAGTATTTATGCAAAAGTAGCATTATGAAAACACCAATATATTTGGTTACAATGTTAGTTCACCTATTCACGCTGAAAGTACCCTGAGTAAAAAAAAGACACAGAAATCACAAGATTGATTTGGATAATAATCCTTGCGTTCGATATAGCACTTTATCACCTCATTGAGACATCTCAAAGCACTTCATGAAGAAGATCCTTTATTTCATCTGATCTCATTGTTGCAGAACTCTAACCTACCATCCTCCCACTATAGCATTAAGCTGTGTTTTTAAAACGGGTCCAGTCCCTGACCTGAACTAGTGGAGTGACTAGTGGATTGCCACAAGGATCAGTGCTTGCGCCTCAGCTATTTACAATTTACATCAATGATCTAGACGAGGACATTGAATGTAACGTATCCAAATTCGCGGATGACACTAAACTAGGTGGGAGATTAAGCTCTGAGGATGATGCAAAAAGATTGCAATGGGATATAGATAGGCCAGGGGAGTGGGCGAGTAGGTGGCAGATGGAATTTAATATGGGGAAGTGTGAAGTTATTCACCTAGGTAGCAAAAATAGAAAAACAGATCATTTTCTTGAAGGGGAGAGATTAGATAATAATTTATTATTTAATCAATTATTTATTCAATAAATAATAATAATAATAATATTCAATAAATAATATTGCTTGCAAACTACTAAAGTTGCTGGAGAAATTAACTTCTCTGTAAGGTTGAATAAAGGCTTAAATCGTGTCAATCAACAAACTACAGTAATTGTGAATAGAATGTGACCAATTATGGTTTCACTTAAGTAAATGTGAATGGGTATAATAAGTTGGATGGAAAAGTAATTTAAATAGTGTGAACTGTTAAGCAATGCAAACTTTAATTGGTTAAAAATTTGATCGACTTTTGTAAATGAATGAATCTCGCATTACAATAAGCTCCAATTTAATGGATCTTTCTGGTTGGGCTGACTACATATATTAGAGGGGAATAGATTGAAGAGACGATCTGCAAATATGCCGTAGTAGAATCCAATGTCACCAGTTCAACTCTTTGAATTTCCAGAAAATATAATCTTCACAATGCACCATTCATATGAGGAAGAATTAAACATCATTATAGCTCACTATACACTGAGTGTGTTATTCTCCTGTAACATGCAATGAGAGAAGACCCTATATTACTTTCGTTCAAACCACATGCCACAGTAATCATGATAATTAATCACAGGAGCTTATTGCTGAGTGCTGTCACAACACCTGCAGCATAAAGCCACTTGCTGGAAGTAGAATACAAAAACCCACAAACAACACGTTTCATCTGTATGTCAAATAATACACTTTGGAATGTGTCTCAAGGAACTAATGCACTGTAGCGTTCATAATAGCACCTGAACCACATGACAGGTGGTTCCTTTACAATACACGACAGTAGGTTATACACAGATAGAGTCCGTGGGATAGTTTTATCGTGTTTTCTTGGAAAAGTTCTGTCTTGGCAAACAGTAGAGGAATTTTGTGTTATCACACATTTAACTTTTGCGATACAGTATTAGGGTAAAATTTGCAGGGTTCCTTAAAGCATTCCTTAATACTACCCTCTCCAAGTAAGTGCTCTACTCCACTAAGATCCTAGTACTGCCATTTTGTGATCCTGAGTTGAAAGTAGTTTTATTTGGTAAGTTACACCTTACACCCTACTTTTGCTTACAACAACTTGCATTTATATAGTGGCCCTCACGCAGGATAGTGTCTCAGAGCGTTTAGTTGCTTAATATTGGTGTCTGAAGGGTGATCTAATTGGGGTGGCCAAAATCCATCTGCATGAAATAAATAACTTTCATATTTAATCTTCGTCTCTTACCATTTAATATCACATCTTCGCAGGAGCTGCTGGAGGTCAGAGGGGGTATCTTGGTTGTATCCGTTTCTTGCGGATGAATGGTGTAACTCTTGACCTTGAAGAGAGAGCAAAGATTACTCCAGGAGTGAAGCCAGGCTGCTCCGGACACTGTACCAGTTATGGCATGTACTGTCGGAATGGAGGGAAATGTGTGGAGAAGTACAACGGCTATTCATGTGACTGCAGGCAAACTGCGTATGATGGTCCCTTCTGCACTAAAGGTATGGCTGGGACTTTTATTTGAGGGGAGGGTGAAAGGGATTTCATACATAACCATATCTTAACAGAATAATGTATTTAGCTACAAGGCAAGCTAATTTAATATGTACATTCTGGACATTGGAACTGAATATGCATTAGAAGAACAAATAATAATAAAAAAACAAGGATGTGGATACAAATCAAAAAGTAACAATTAGCTTACAAGCCACTTCAGTTACATTATGATTTTCCTTTCACTTTCCTCCAGCTGTTAAGTATGAATTGCATTAATCCATCAGTTTGTAACTTATAGGTGTTTCAAACAATACAAATAATTCAAACATGTTTTAGTCAGTGCAATTTCTAGTAAATGGCTTTGATGAACTTATAGTTGAATCAAGCTTGGCACATGGAAGTTGCTGGTAGGGCACAATGCATTAACGACAGACAAAAGCTTCAGAATTCTCCTTTAAATACTGAATACAAGCGCTGGACTGTACCTGAAAATAGTCATTTGCTTACAAGCAAATGGGGGAATTGCTGTCTCAATTACCTAGCTGCAGACTACAAAGATAAAATCATGGATTAGTGAGGTCAAATTTCACTTAAGCGATTAAGTGCTTTAGGACGTCTTCCCGATGTGAGAGATTATCCTCTTGGGGGCAGGTGGGCCAGTAAGTGAGTTCCTCTTGGAACTGAGTTGGTTCCAAGGTGATGTGCACAGCAACGGAATGTCGGAATCAAGTCAGTCCGCTGTGGTGGTCTCGGTAGTCTGATTCCTGAGTCGGAGAACAGTGCGTGGGAGGGGGGAATGGACATTACTCCAAGCTGTTCTGATATGACAGTGCTATCAATGGCAAGCCATAGGGTTTTACTTGGTTAGATGCCACCAGAACCCCCAATGCAATGTATTCCACTGAGACACAGGGAAATTTACATGTGTAGGTGGCATAAATATGTTGAACTTTCAATCTGGTTTAAATACTTTTAAGTTTGGTGACAGGTTTCCATACCCGCCTGACCAAATAACACAATGCTTAATGCTTAATAGGAATTCATCCAGGGCACTAAGGTGGGGTAGGGTTAACTCATCTACTTTTTTGTGAATTCTCCACAGGATTACACTTATTATAAATCTGGTAGAAATGTTAGGAAGTGCTCGGTAATGTTCAAAGTAATGTGCACTATAATTAAAGTTTTTTTCGGTTCATCTGAATGCATTTCGTATAATTCGCTTCCACTGGTGCTGCTGAAAAGTTTCATTTTGAATGTATTCTACTTGCTTCCAATAAATATTAACAATAATTGCCCGTTTTCAAGCTTCAATGCCTATAAATTCATGAATATTGCACTTGGAATAGGAGTATCATATATTTACATATTGTGCATAATTATGACTTATTATCAAGGTTCAAAGAACTCAATTAATGTTTCATTTAGCTTTTTCTCATCTTCTGCTGCAATAATGGAGCCTATAATCTGGGGAGAAGTTTATCCTTAATAAACAATTACAGCACTCTTTAATGTATTTTTTAAAGCTGCAATCAGCTTTTATCATGCCTTGGTGCTTGTCTGATTAGTTTAATCCAAAATATCATGTTTCTACATTTATAGCCACAATTCTCAAGTGACCTGCAAGTAAGATGGAACTTTATCGGTGTGGAATAATGACTGTAAACACAAAGACATTAAGGAACAGAGATACACAGCAGGGTGCATAATAACGAAGTTCAAATAGCTTGAAAAACTGTCAGAAATCAAAGCTATAATTTTTCAGCACTGATTCATAAAGCTGTCAAGGGATTCGTTATTACTGGGTGTATTGCATATCTGTGAAGACATGTCTCCAATAATTCTTTAAAGTATCAAATTTTTCCTTTTAACAGCTTTCCGACTCATTTTATTCCCTTGAATATTATTTTTCACAAATCATGCACAATAGCAGTAAAATCACAATTCCTTTTTTTAAAAAAAATTGCGTTCTTCTTCACCTTGGTAAGAACGAAGAGAATGATAACACTAAATAGATCAAACGGAATACAGTCCTACCCACTTATGCTTGTATGGAAATATCTTGCTTCTTTTTTATATTTACTTTTGATGATGGAGCCAAGTTCAGAATCTTACTGAGTGGGTAGCATGGATGGGGCCGAGCCTCGTCAGTATTAAACGTTCCTTTGTACTGCATCTTTCAAATTCCTGGCTAACAATCCCCCAAATATAACTGATTATTTCACTTCATTGTTTATTTCACTGTTTGTGGGACATCGCTGTACGCAAATTGTCTGCCTGTTCATCTGTGCAGAATCACTACACGGTATAGTATATCCCGTGAAGCGGTTTGAGCCGTCATGAAAAGTGCTATATGAAATGTAAGGATTATTATCCATTCCTCCCTATTAATGTAGGGGGGAATGGTCACAGCCAGCTGGTGAGCTGAAAAATTGAGCAGATAATAATAATAATCCTTGCAATTTGATATAGTGCCTTATCACATCATTAAGGTGTCTCAAAGCGCTTCACTGAATATACTGTAAAGTGAATTGACTATATTTTGTGGGCAAAATGCGGCAGCCAGTTGCACACAGCAGTGTCCCACAAACAGTCATGGATTGAGTGACCAAATAATTTTTTNACGGGATTATTATCCCCAGCACATCATACAGGCCACCCCAACCTCTAACAAAGCATGTGGAACATATGGTTGTACCGAGCACCAAATGCCATCCTACAAGGAAGATGATATTGTTGGTACGAATGTAATGATCTTGAATGACAACAAGGGGCAAAGTATATGAAGTCAAGACATCAGATATTCTCTGCAGATCATCTTTTCCCTTCAAGTACAGTATTCTGGTTTTCAACATGAGTTGTTAGATATTCTAATCATAATACCTTCATTGAGATCATTTATTTTCGACCATGCCATCAGTCATCCCCCTTCCCCTCCCCTCCCTTCTCCCTCCCTGACCCCAGCTCGGGTCTGAAATGCTGAAATGCTGTACACAGTCCAGCGCCTTAGGACGTCCCCCCAACGTGAAAGGCGCTATTCAAATGTAATCTTGTTCTTGTTGTTGCTATGGTTTATGGCAATTAAATCAGTGGAAGATAGCCTTATTCCCATGCCAGAAGTTAAATGTAGCTCCTTAGACACTCAGTCATTATTGTTGACTGGAGTTCTGTCCTTGGCACAATAATAGCAGCTGTGTTTCAGAGCACTTGGCAAGAACAAAGAAAGAAGATGGAAAATATTTGAGTCACTTCAGCTTTGCAATCATGCCGAGTGCTCAGCCCTATCACTTATTGTTAGCTTAATAGTTATAACTAATAGGTCAAGTAACAAGCATTGATTAAACTCAACCTCTTAATTCCAGCTGCTGTCAATTCTTTTTTTAAAAAATCATTGAAGTGTACAACTGCACAGCTATCATTTCTGTGAAATTATATTCAATGTTGCATAATTTGTCAGTAAACTGCTGAAGCACAAATGTTACACTGTAATGAAATATTGGCCAGGATTTGCAGTGCACCCAGTAAATAATACAGTGCTTGGATTTTAGCTACCCTAACATTCAATTGGAGTGTCAGCCCGAGGTTATGAGCTCTGAGTCTTGACGTGAGGCTTGAACTCACAACCTTCTGACTTAGTGGCAACAGTGCTACCAACTGAGCAAGCCTGACATCTAGCTAACAGCCCCCTTAGCTTACTTTTTCCATGGCTGTCTTGATCAAGGCAACTCACAACCAAGATTTGAGGCAGTTAGCGGCATAGCATGTTAATAATAATAATCCTTGTATTTGATATAGCGCCTTTCACATCTTCAAGATGTCTCAAAGCCCTTCACGGGATACATTGTAAAGTGAATTGACAGTATAATTTGTGGGTAATATAATTGACTGTATATTTTGTGAATGTATTTCAGGCTTGTTAAGCCTTCAATATATTGGGATAAAGTGTCCCAATATATTTCAGGTTATCAGCCTGGCTCAATTGGTAGCACTCTCGCCTTTGAGTTAGGAGGTTGTGTGTTCAAACTCTACATTTCGTCTAACATTCCAGTGCAGTGTTGGGAGTGAGTTACTACAGTATTCTGCTGATACATTATACTGATGTTCTTCTACCTGTTCTGGTGGATATTAAAGATTCCATGGCACTATTTTTTTAAAAATCCTGCAAATAAAATTGGCTATTGATTTCATGGCTGGTTTGGGGACATTGCTGTGTCGAAATCAATTGCCTTGTTTGGCTACAAAAATACACAGTCACTACAATTTACAGTAAATTGTAAGACTGAGATAGATATATTTCTTATTGCAAAAGGGATTAAGGGATATGGGGATAAGGCAGGGTTATGTTATTAGCTGGAGTTAGATTAGAAGATCAGCCATGATTGAATGGCGGGGCAGGCTCGAAGGGCCGAATGGCCTACTCCTGCTCCAACATGTTATGTTATGTTAAATTGTGTGAAGCATTTTGAGACTTCCTCCCAACTTGAAAGGTGTTACATCAAATGCAAGGAATACTATAATTAGAAGTAAACCTAGAAGAAAATACTTTCAGATATATCTAGGCATCAGGCCCAGAGGACAGGAGGACAGAGCAGAATTGTGAAGAGTGGACTCATGGAAGAATTTCTATACACAGAGGGCAATCAACAGCTGAAACAAGATGTTAGCAACAGTGGTTGACACCAGGACAGAAGATTAATTTAAGAAACAGTGTGATACTGCAATTGAAGAATGGAGGGTTGTTATTATGGAAGGTTCAGGTCAAATGGATTAAAGGAACATTTTGATCTGAGTAGCTTTTGTGATCTTGAGCAGAAATATAAAATCAAAGTAAAAGTCATAGGCACAAGTTTTCACAACTGAAAAATTAAAAGGAGACCATTACTTTGGTTTCCTTTTAAATCAAAGTAATGGTTTCCTGCAGCTCAATGGTTAGAGCACTCACCTCGCAAGCGAGAGACCTGGGTTTGATTCCTGCCAGGGCAAAATGTTGGACAAGTTTTCTTACTCC